CCCCAAAAGTTTCTCAGCGGATTTGGGCTGTACTCAGCAAGCGCAGTACAGCCCCCAACTCAGATTTGAAAAAAAATCAGTGGATGGCTGTTTTCGGACTGGTCGGCCCTACTGGTCGTCTGCAATACGGTCGGCGGTCGGGGTAGGCAGTCGGCGTGTATGCAACCCTGCCGGGTGTTCTATTCGGGTGAAGATGGTAGTTATGCGAAAGAATCGCAAGGGTTAAGCTTGACCTCCTCGATTCTCTGCTTGGGACTTTGGATGTTTGAGGATGCAAGTCCTCAATTCTCCTTTCTGGATGCATGCGGATGCGTGGATGTGTGAGGATGCGAGTCCTTGATTCTCCTTTTTGGTTGCGTGTGGATGCAAGTTGTTCACCATGCCGCCATCAGCGTGGTGATGCTAGCACTATTATTCTGCACAGAGTAAAACACAGAGCTGAAACAGTTTTTGTCCTTCGGGACATCCGTTAAAAATTGGAACGATTCAGAGAAGATTAGCACGGCCCCTGCACAAGGATGACACAAATCAATCGAGGGGGGGGGAAAAAACAAAAAAAAACTGAAAGTCTGAAACAGTTTCAGCGGGCAAGAATCCGTAGTGTTGGTGGGTAACAGATTAACAGCATAGCAGCTAATGGTGTGAATGCGGAGCGCTTAATGGTTCAATTCAAGTGGGTGTGTGTCCATCCATGCAAGAGACACAAATGGAAGACTGTTATGGGGTTATGTACGCATTGACCGATGTAGGTTTTGAAGCAGTCCGATCTGCCGGCCTCCTCCTGGCTGGTCATTGCTTTGGATGACTGCTACCCGCCATTCCGTGTTGCCCTCTGCTTGGTGTAGCTCAAGCTTGGCGACGTTCTGCGTGCATAGAGGATGCCAATTCTGTTCCATTCGTCACTGCTCTCTGCTTGTTGTAGCACAAGCTTTCCAATGTTCTGCTTATCCTATGCGATTCCTCGCGGGTTCTCTGCTCGTTGTTGCGCAAGCTTTGCGATGTTCTGCTTATAGGATAGGACAATGTGCTGGCCATTGTGTGGACGTGTACGCATTGACCGATGTAGGTTTTGAAGCAGTCCGATCTGTCGGCCTCCTCCTGGCTGGTCATTGCGTTGGATGACTGCTATCCGCCATTCCTTGTTGCCCTCTGCTTGGTGTAGCGCAAGCTTGGCGACGTTCTGCGTGCGTATAGGATGCCAATTCTGTTCCGTTCGCCACTGCTCTCTGCTTGCTATAGCACAAGCTTTCCAATGTTCTGCTTATCGTATGCGATTCCTCGCGGTTGTCTGCTCGTTGTAGCGCAAGCTTTGCGATGTTCTGCTTATAGGATAGGACAATGTGCTGGCCATTGTGTGGACGAAAGTTCAGCGGCCGCCCATCAAAGGTTGTGGCTTGTTCCTAGTTTCATTGGAGTGCTTGATATGACCTTTCCGTGATGATAAAATGTCTTGTTTTTTATTATAGTTATTTCGATGTAATATTAACACCAGTACTATAACTTGTTATTTCCTCTTCTAAGTCCCGCCTTAGCGAAAGTAGCTGCTGCCATGCCGTGGATGGACGTGAGACTCTCCTCGTGAATATGATTGCCTCCTCGTATGGCTGTGAGATTTGAACTCTGGACCTTCAGAGTGGCAGCAGTGGATCATTTAGAGTGAGCAAGGTGGCAGTCTGGCAACTCTCCTCAGCTGCTGTAATGATGTAAGGATCCGGAGGGGTATACTGATGCTCTGCCTTGTGTGTTATGGAGAGGCGACCCTCTGAATTTCGCTTCTGTCTGTGAAATAAGGATCGATGACTGCTTTTCGTTTTTCCTTTCATGTCTCTCAGTCCACTTGATGTAATGGTTGTGCCTGCTACGGCGAAGTTTGACGTGTGGTTAGTGTTTGCAAACTTCAGGAAAACATTGAAGCTCAAGCTCGCCACTTGCATCACGTTTGGGCAGTTAGTGGTGTTATTGGTTGCGGCAGTGTGTTTCTGGGGTGCAACCGTCGAAGCAGGTGGTGTTGGTCACCGCAAGCATGGTCCGTACGACGCGGAAAGTCTGCGGGTGAGGGGTCAAGGTAGGGAGACGCTGGGAAGCCGTGTGCTTGATCAAACATCATATGTGCGGCGCAATGGAGGTTTGCATGCTGTTGCAGAGGATAGACTTGCGAAAGGGGAGAGCGCAGATGAGAGGGAGGAGGAGAGACGAGAAGCACGTAGCCTGGCTGGAACGGAGCTAGCCAATGGAGATGACGAGAATGGCTATGCTAAGAAAGTCGTTAATTCCGACACACAAGGACGAGGGTCGATAATGGCGGGGCATTGGGATGGTCAGGTACGGCGAAGGGTTGTCAAGGAGGGCGGTGCTGCCTCACGCACAGAGGGCGGTGGAACGGATAACATGCAGGGTAACCCAGGGGCTGCTGCGAAGAATGAGGCAAATCTTGAGTTAACAAACAGTGAAGAGAGTGAACCTCGAGATGAAGCCAGACACCCAACGGTTATGGGTGAGGGGGAATCTCAGACTCAAGGTGGAGCTGTTGAGAATGATGAGGAGGCTGCACAGGTGGAGGAGAGGGAGAAACTGCATGAGGCGGGAGATGAGGAGCCGGAAGAAGGTGTCGTGGAGAAGGGAGAGAAGCGGAAGGAGGAGATGGAAGAGGAGGGGACTGAGGAAGGGGAGGGGACGGAGGATAAGGAAGAGGAAGGAACACAGGGCAAGGAAGAGGAAGGAACACAGGGCAACGAAGAGGAAGGAACACAGGGCAAGGAAGAGGAGAACGCTGAGGAGGAGAATGGGGAGGATGAGGAGGAGAGGACAGAGGCAACAGCGCAAGAGGAAGAGAAGGAAGCAGAGGAAGAGCGAGATGATTCCCTACAGCCCAGGCGGAAGCGCCATCAGGTGTCTCCTCTCCGAACTGTCGTGTCTGGAGGTGGTAGGAAACATCAGGTGGGAGACCGCACTGGCAGCAGAAGGAGCGCAGTGGGCGCAGTCGGTAAGGATGAGGAAGAGACGGACATGGACGAAGAAGATGCGCCAGAGAAGAAAGGAGAGGAGGCAACAGAGGAAGATGGGGAGAACACAGCAGAGCAGGAGGAAGAGGGTGCTTTCAGGGAGGGTCAAGGTGATGAGCATTCTCTGCATCCAATTACTCGTCACCGCCAGCGTTCACGTGTACGGATGTCATCTTCTGGAGATTCCACAGATAGAGGTGATGGTGCGGAACAGCAACCGGAAGAGGAGAGCAGGGATGAAACCAACGAACCAGGTGAGGGAAAAGAAGAACTAGACGATGAAGAAGAAGAAAAAGAAGAAGAAGAGCAGAAACGCAGTTTCAGCAATGCTACGGAGGAAAGGTTGGGATTTGGTCCGCCTCCCTCTTCAGCGTTAACATCCGAAGTCAGTCGTGAACATCTGGCAGCCTCTCGTAATAGTACGGTAGTCGTGAACTCTGAGAAAGCGGATGGTTCTTCTGGCTCTAATCATTCGAGAGGCATGGGTGCTAATGAGTTGGTTGGAAACGGGAAGGAGGAGGATTTGGAGCCACATCGCGTCACACAAGATAATAGGGAAGGCGTAGGCACCACCCAGGATGGTGAGGCTAAGCTGACCTCTGATGGGAAGATGGTTCAGTGGGACTCTGGCAAAGGAACCTTGTCCGAGGCTGAGGCTGCAGAACTAGTTACTGACAAAGTGGAGGGGGGGGAGTTCGGCACGGGTGGAGGAGAGGGGAACATGGACGAGCAGTCGGAACTGGACGACGAGGAGCCCGGAAACCTGATGGAGCCAGTGCAGAAAACGTTTAGCGGTTTGCATAAGAAGACAAGGGAGTCTGTTTTTCCGAAGATGGGGCAAGCTAAGGATTTGGGAGTGAAGATATTTGAACAGACGCATTCGTCGTTGAACGAGGGCCTGACTCCGCTTTTGGGCAAGAATTATAGCCCAATCGTTAGCACATTGATAGCGTACGGCATGTTGCTTGTTCCTCTGATCATCACCATCTTCATCGTTGAGAGAGTTCGTGCGGTTTTGTCGATTCAAAAACTCCTCCTCTTTGCCAACGCTTACTTGACCGCCTACAGTGTCACGCTTTTGTGTTTGGCGATCGTCATTGGCGCCGAGCCGATGGTGACGTTACAGCGTTCCGCTTGGGAGAACTACTTCCTCCTGCAGTTCTTGCAGGCTCTAGGATACATCGTCTACCTCATGCTTCAGCTGACTAATGTGATTCTGGTGTTTAATGGCGATACATTCCTCGCAAAAGCGATCGCAATCATTCAGTTTGGAACCGCAGGAGCAGTAGGCCTACACTACTACGTGGCGGTGTGGCAAAGAGCCATGGTAGACAAACCGCCGAGGATAACTTCGACGGCATATTTGGTCTATGCTCTCATCTTCTTTGTGCTGTGCCAGATGGCAAGGCTCCGGAACTCTCGGAGGGATGCTATTCTGTCGAGTGACGCTGGCGATAAAGTGCTGTAAGCCCGCCCCGTCATGGCATACTCACACTGGGGAGGTTCCCGTCTCTATCTGTTGTGAAATATTTGAGTCCAGACTGTCCAGTTAAAAATGATGCTGGTTAGGGCGTAGACCACAGCAGCCAGTGGATTTTTGCAATGTTGTCCACTTTATACGCTCTTGCCAGAGAGGGAGAGAGGGAGAGAGAGATGGTGAGGCTGGGGATGGTGTAAGGCGCACGTTAGGGCCGCTGGCAGTGGAACGCACACGTTCAGTTTGCAGCTGCCTCCAGAGATGCAGGGTTGGCTTGGCGGATGGAGATTGGTGGTCAGTGTGTCGGGTTTTACCTACCAAGTGGACCCTGCTGCTGTAAAGTTGAGGAGATCTTTTTTTTTTTTTTTTTTTTTTTTTTTTTTTTTTCAAGTGGTTAGTTTGGGTGGGAGATGTGTGCCTCCCTGCATGGGATTGGTCTCTTGCTAGATGATAGAGGGGTCCAAACCGAACCGCTGTGGACAGCAGTCCAGAAAGAGACTGATGTCAGTTGGACAATAGCGGCGGTGGATGTTTCGTATTCGGATGGGTTGATTCGCTTTATCAGTGCAGAGAGGCATGCACGAATGATATGCCCGCTATGAGAGATCCAGGTTTTGAAAATTTCGGAGATCCAGCTCCTGCAAGTAAGTGGGAGATACATAGAGGTTTCATTCTGGTGTCAGTCTCCCCCCGGCATTTCGCTGAAGTGCTTAGAGCGAATAGGCAAATTGGTAATCAATGATTCGATCTTTGAAGATTCGTGGAGTGTGCATTGTCTAAGCGTTCACAGCGGTGCCAGGAAAACTGGGCTCACATGTTTTTTGTATCACAGCGAAGGGAAAGGTTATTCTTTCCTCAGCCAGGAGATTAACTCACCTTAGCTACCGCCGGGAATACCCGTCTGCTCTGTCTCCATGGAGACAGCTTGTGTTTGGTTCAAACTCTTGCTTACCTGTCGTTTGGAATTCTTGGTCGACACGGGCACGGGGTGAGCATTGTGCTTTTTTAACCTAATGGTCGCAGGTTCAAATCCTGCTGTTGTCCTCGTTCCTTCACCTGGTTGGCAGGTTTGATTTCTTCCATGATGCCTGAAGGTGAAGGGTTCAATCAGTTCTGCAAAAGTAGGGGGAAGGAGGAGGAAGGAGGGGCAAGGTGTTCCTAGCATCCGGGCCTATCCGGTAAGAGAGAGAGAAAAAAAAAAAAAAAAAAAAAAGAGAGAGAGAGAGACTTCAAGGTGTTTGCCGATACAGTATCACCTCTGCTCATCAAAATTCACGTAAGGTGAGCGGTCTCGAGCATCAGTGGCTATCGGTGTAACATACAAACTGGCCAAGCAGTCTCGAGTGTCGGCGGCTATCATTGACTACATGTAAGCTGGCCATGGGCAGCTATTGCACTGGCTGATCAAGTGGTTAGTGACGGTCTGGTTGGATCAAGTTGGATGGGCAGGCGGAAGGAAGTTTGACGATCGAAAATGTCAACCCTTTCTTTGAATGGCTCGCTGTGTTTGCCCCTCGTGCTGTGTCCGGCATGCCAGCTGGCTTCGGAATCCACCTGCCTGCTTGCATGGTCACCTGCCTCCCCAGCTGTTTGGGTTCCCGTCTGGCCACCTGCCTGTATGCTTGGCTGTCTCCCAGAACGACGACCTTCCCATGCACCACCTTGCTCTCCAACCCGCTCACCTGACTCCCCATTCCACACTTGCTCGCTGATTGGGTCTTCTGAGTGGAGGTATGTGTGCTGGAGTTGATGAAGTGCTGATGTGCTTGGCTTCGCCCAACACCGTACATCTGCTGTGGGAGAAGAGAGACACAGAGAGAGAGACACACACAGAGAGAGAGAGAGAGAGAGAGACAGAGAGAGGAAGGTGGGCAGGCAATTGGGTTTGGCGAAGTGTTCTTCACAATTGCTCAGTTAGTTTATTCGGAGTATTCCTCATCTATGGAGCTCAGTTAGCTTATCTATGGCTGTGTCGGCATCATCAGCTATGTTGCCATCCACGGCTGAATCGAAATGTATAGGTTGTGAGTCAGCAGTGCCTATGGCTGAATTGGAGGCATTTACAGCGAAATCAGGTCAGGTTGCATCTCCCTTTGAAGTTTGAACCCCTCAACTTGCAGGCAGTGGATGGCAGCGATCAGGTTGCGTCTCCCGGTGGTCGAGCATAAGATAATTACTAATTAGTTACCTTCAGCAACATTGTATACCGCTTCCTCTTCCTTGGCTGACATCCTCTGCGACCTTGAGAAGGGTGAAGGGTCGTTCCCGTAGCCTTGGAGCGAAGAGTCTGTGTCTATTTTCCCATAGACAGGTGGTTGAAAGTCTGCGGTCTAAGGCGCGGAAATGTCATGCGGTTCGGCATGTAGAGGAGGGATTCGCTTCCCTTCTAGATGTCTGCCCGCTGATTAATTGCCGATTGGTTGATATTGTTTCTCGCTCGTTGCCTGCAAGAATCGATTGTTATCGTGTGCATCCGAAGTGCCTCTTGTCCATCAGGTTGTAGTTGAGGAGAGTGACACCTGAGCTGGTGGCTCCGCTGTCGGAGAAAAGCTTGTATTTGTCAGCATGGCATCATCGACCTTGTTTGCAACCGGGCGCTGTAATTGCATACTTTCTCCTATTGGAAGTTCTGTATAGCCTCTTTTCTTTTTGTGCATTTGTCAATTGATGGATGCTTGATCTTGCTTTCCACTTTGCCTTTATTTTAGCGATCCGTTCCCAGCCATCCGCTTTAGGACAACGGACTCCTGCAAATGCTCTCTCTCTCTCTCTCTCTCTCTCTCTCTCTCTCTCTCTCTCTCTCTCTCTCTCACACACACACACACACACAAAACAGTCTGGCACAGTCATGCTATTTTTGAGTGTATAGCGAATATGACAACACACTGTGGATGGATGTGTTTTGCTGGTTTGGTTTCTTGTACATGGCCTAACTCTTTTCCCTGCTTTGCAGCATAGGTTGTCTTGTCGATGAAGTAATTTTTGTGGGTGGCCACGAGTTTTTTCTGGGGTGGGAGTTTGTGGTTTTGCCCACAATATCTTCGCGAGGAGGCTCAGAGAGTGTTTGCTGCGGGTACAGGCTGCTCTTTCGGAGCACATGGAAGAATGGGGAAGCTTGTAGTGTGTTTTGAGTAGTAGCGCTCGTGGTGTCAAATGGAGATCTTGTGAGATTTGGCATAGCACTCCCAGTGGCCTCCCTATAGCACTACTGGTAGGGTATCATCTGATTTTGCAGGTTGTGCAGCAGGGGGAGGTTCATGGCACTCTTGGTGTTGAGTACAGGTCCTGCAGTGTATTTTTGATTTGTGGTGGCGTGGTGTTGTAGACCGTCACAGAGGGGTCTGATTTTTTTTTTAGACCATTGGCATGTGTGGTCGGCTCGTAAAGACAGATGTGTTATCAAATAATCACAGATTAACGGCTTGGTAGCAGTCGGTCTCATGCGTGACTACCGTCTTCACCCGAATATAGAACACCCAGTGATTATACCTGCATCTGGATTCTGGACCGAAAGTTGTGCCAAATACATGATTAATGACCGGGCATTCTATTCAGGTTAAGACCGTAGTTAGTGTGACCTGCTACGTCGAGACGATAACATAAACTACTGATACCTGAAAGGAAGAAGAAGGGGCGGACGACATGATAGCATTTTTTTAATAATTTTTTTCCGAGGAAACTAAAAGAAAATTTTATGCGTGGATGACGTCTTAGCAGCTGTCAAGGGGAGGGAAAGGACAGCTGCTACCGACTTGACCCGAATACAGTGTGCGGTCATTATAGCTGTATTTGGGGCATTTTTGAGTCTGTATTTTGGGCATTTTTTAGTCTAGATACAGCAATAATGAGCGTACGTTGCAAGGTAGTCGGCTGATTTCCAAAGCTAGTTAGCTTGCTAGTTTGTCTCCTCTCTAAGAGTGGTTCGACTTTTCGAACAGCCCACTAAAGGCCATCGACAGATTCGACACGTCACCAAGCACGTTGTATATCATAGTTCTTTCCATATTGGTGAGAAGGAGAGAGTTGGTGTCGTCTACGAGGGGTGCTTGAACCCCTAGAGTTGGCTAAAGGGCCATTATGAACCGTTTGTCAAGCGTTGTGTATATCGCCATCATTCTACGCACGGTTAGGGATTTTACATTGGTCTGGTTGTGGACAAATCTTTGTTCTCAGGTCATACAATGTTCCTAACAAGTGTCCCTTCGGGACATCCGTTAAAATTGGAACGGTACACAGAAGGAATATTCGCATGGCCCCGGCACAAGGATGACATGCAACAATCGAGTAATGTGCCTGCCTCTTCGCGTGTTCATCGTGGAGATGAAAGGAAATGAATGTGAGGAAAAGGTAAGGTGGTGGCAGTTGCAGTCACAAAAAGAAAAAGAAAGAACAAAATTGAAGCGGTGCCAAGGAATCTTGAACTGTGACATTATGACGAGACTGGTACTCCGAATTTGCCTGCTCCCCCCCCCGGGCCCCTCTTTCTTCCGTCTTTCTTCCCTCTGTCTCCCTCTTTCTCCCTCTTTCTCCCATCTTTTTTCCTCTTTTCCCCCTAGTTTTTCCTCATTTCTCCTTCTTTCTCCCTCTTTTCTCCTCTTCTTCGGAAGTTTCTCCTTCTCTTTTTTTTTTTCTTTTTTTTTTTTTTTAAAGTCCGACGGGCTTGAGATATCACCATTGAGTTGATCGGCCACATATAATTCTGAATAATTCTCAATTATCTCATATCAGTCCATCCGTTCAGTAACTTCAGTTGGATTCGAACTCAGGTCTGTATTTCAAGAGTTCATGGGTGCACCGACCGAGCTAGGGTCGTTGTTTTTTGTCCCTCTTTCCTCTCTTTTTTCCTCCTCTTCTTTGGACCACGAGAACTGGCTGTGTCTATTGACAGCAGGCGAAGAGGTTCTCCCTTCCTCCCAACATCCTCCCAACATCTGCTCGGTCAATCCCCTAGACCCCAGGGTAATCAATGCCGGCAGGAACTCCTCAGGAACTCCTCACTACTATGTTCCAGATAATTTCAAATTTTCAGTCAGTGTAAGGGACGCTGGACCCGTTTTCCAGCAGGTGCTGCTCCCCACCAATAGACGGAGCCTATGAAAAAAAAAAAAAAAAAAAAAAAAAAAAAAAAGACAGCAGTTTTGGTGTCTACTGACAGCAGTTTTGTCTACTTGTAAGTTGTAGAAGACTGGGTCTGTGAGTCAGTGGCCAAGCTGGACACGGCTTTGGGGCTGGAACTGACGGCATTGTACCGTGATTTTGATTTTGTCATTCTTCCTTCGTTCTAGGTCAGAAAAGAGTACGAACACAGTTGCTATAGGGAATTATATGGTATGTACTATGTACTATGTCGGGAAAGTAAACGGGGGCTGAAATGGCCCCTTCTTGTGCAAATCGGAAGCCCTGCGTTTATGCGAAGGCGAGTCTCTTAACCCTTTTGATCATTCGATTAAGGACTATTGTTTGCACGAAATAATAAATATAGCTTCAAGCTGACCCCTTTCGAGTGGACCAGGGAATAGCTGACCCCTTTTCCAACTTCTTTTCAGGAGCGATTAGCCCCCACCCCCAGACAGGGCCAGACGGACTTTTGATTTGAGTGCGTGGGGCTGTAGTAGAGGGGGGGGCTCTTATACCTTATACCCAGCCCCAGGAAGTAGAGGGGGGGGCTCTCATACCTTATACCCACCCCCCAGGAAAGATTGGTAGGAGCAATGGTGGACTCCCAGGGGAAGGAGATGGACAGCAGTAGGCACCTCAACGGAATGACTGATGGGCATGCTTTCAGACCGACCCTCGCTGCAGTTAATAAGGATATTGGTGACGATACCACCAATCTTCCAGTCATGGACATAACTTCTGCTGTTGACATGATGTGGGGCGCTACGACCGATGTAGGAAAGACGGTCGTATCTGCAGGGCTTGCAGCTGCTGCACTCAGGTCTCGAAGTCTGTCTGCGGCTGAAAGACATGTGACATATATTAAACCCGTGCAGACTGGGTTTCGTACCGACTCAGACTCGCGGGTGCTTTATACGTCTGTTGCGAAGATGATGACGAGGAATGAAAATGGCGTTGATTAACTTCTAAATTAATGTCATCTGCCACTTCGATGGAACTGTAGCTGCTATCGTGGTTATCTGAGGCCTCGGCGCTCGCTGAAATCTCTGCGTGGCAGCAGTCAGTCGGCAGAGAGGGGGAGACCTTGACTACTTATCCCACTCGCCAGGACACGCGTTTGTTCTTAGAGTGTCTCATGATGTGGGCATGGAAAAATCCAGTATCCCCCCATTTAGCAGTATGAAGGGGGGTCTGGTTAAGGACGAGACGGTGGTGGAGGGGTTGAAGAATGTGCTTCGGCACTTTGCGAGGCAGGGAAAGGGGCAGGGGCAGGGGCAGGGGAAGGGTGCCTCGACCTGTCCAGGTGCAGATCATCAGCATGGAGAAGAATTAGGGAGGTCTATACGTCAGGATACTGGCAGCTTGTCCATTGTGGAGACAGCGGGGGGTGTTGCGAGTCCAGGATCATCTGGGACACTCCAATGTGATGTGTATAGTCCCTTGCAGATGCCCGCATTGCTGGTGGGTGATGGGAGATTGGGAGGTATTTCCACAACGATCTCCTCATATGAGTTGCTGCGCCTCAGAGGGTATGATGTCGATGCAGTTGTGATGATTGACTATGGACTAGGCAATGCCGGAGCTGTGCGCAGACAGCGTCCCACAAGCGTCGTTGTTGTGCACAGCAGCACTTTCCTTCCTCTCTCTTTGTGCCTGCACCAACTGCTTGACCTGAAACTTGTAGTGCTGAAGTGGCAAATTTAATAGGACAATAGCTATACAGCTGGTGGTAATTCACTAAATCCCTGCGATAAGCCGCGGGTAGATTTCCACATGGCAGGTGAATTGCCACCTGCTGTGATGGGTTGATCAGCAGGGTCTGCCTCACTGCAACTCATCTGAGAGAGAAGTCCATCCACGAGGAACCAACAGACTCTCTCTCTCTCTCTCTCTCTCTCTCTCTCCTGTCTCTTATACACATCTAGATGTGTATAAGAGACAGGCTTTCTTCCATGATGCCTGAAGGTGAAGGGTTCAA